TCCTCTTCAAATCACTGCGGAATCAATTATTATATCACACTTCTCCAACCGAAAACACTTATATAAGTTACGTACACATTGTCACATACATCAATCGAGTGTCACGCCAACCCGAACTCAGCCTCTGCACATATCTACACATTAATTGGATGTTTTTTCTTTACTTCTCTTGTCGACCGTCTTGCAGGTCGTCCTTCGTCATCCCCTTGCCGCTGTTCATCGACTTTTGCCCTTGCATCGTCATTGTCATCGCGCCCCTCCACAACTCCGTCTATCCCCTCATCACTCAACGAAATGCAATTAATCACCGACTTCGACGTGAATGGTCCCTCGACCTTCCTCGTCTCCTCCTTCTCTGTCTTATCTAGCAGTTCATCATCTCATCGGAATCATTTTGCACCTCACTCGCACGTTGTGCATACCCACCTTTTTGCATTTCATTTGCAACAGCCCCACTCCCGGAAGGAGTGGGGCTCGCCATCAGCGATGCACACTCGTTTCCCGCCTGCGTTATTAGAGGAGGTCCGTACGATGTAACGTTCGATGCCACTTTGTCGACATTTCGTGGAACCTCGGTCGCCTCCATTATCTTGCTGGCTGTCTGACTCATCGCTTCCCCAACACTCGTTGCAAACTGCGTGTTTGACTCCCCCCCAATCTGTGAGCATCCCAACCGGATTGTCTCAATGCCATGGCCAGCTTGAGGAAGATCGATCTTCCAGTTGATGCTCTTGTATGACCGACTTGATTCCAAGTCATAGAATCCGTGTTTATATTCCAGTCGGTGTTTGGAGTGAAGACATTCGAATAGCAATCGAGCCTTTTCCTCAATAGCTGCTTCATTCGCTCCGTCATTTTCTTTCCTAACCCGAAATACGATTTCGCTCTTCGCCAATTTCAGCCACGAGGCTTCATCCAGTCTGGCTCTGACTTTCCATCCTTTTGTTAGATGGACTGCCATCATCCACTTCCCCTGTACAATGCATGGCTCGAATAGATCCATATGCCACAAAATGTGATGCCCCCACTTGTCAGACGTCGTTTCTGGCACCTTGTCTGGAATGAAGTACGGCTGTTCACTGGCCTGCGCAATGCTATCAGGGATATCATCACCGGGCATCAGCTTTGGGAGGGCATTTGGAATCGCAAAGTCATCCTCGTAATCGTCTAGCCGCATTTTGTTGACCGGGTTTCCTCGAGATTGAGCCTTTTCCCGGAACCCTTGACGATTGCCATGAATCAGTACATTCTCAAGTGCTTGAATTGGCGTAAGCGAATCTGTTTGCATGTGTTCAATGGAACTCGCCCTGTCGGTCACGTCACGCGTTGGACTGCTCGCACCCGCCGATTTCGTGCGAACTTCTTCTTCCTGGAGGCTTGGCGCGTTGCATGCAGGCACGCTTTCCATTCCCTCTCGCATACGTTTCACTCGCTCCTCGATTTCGAGGTCTGAGGTTTCAGTCTCCTCATCGCTCTCGATCGGATTCCACGCATCATATTCTTTGGCAATCTTGCTGTATCCATCGTACGTCAGCATTGCCTGATTTCCTCTGAACTTCATTCGTTCGCATCTTGCTACGAACATCGCAAACGACCCCACTTGTGCTTTATGGTAGCCACTATACGTTTCCTGTGCCATCGCTTTGCGAACTATGTAGTCATGCTCGAATGGTGTTGGCCTTGGAACAAATATTCCCACATCTTGTTTCTCTTCTTGCCCAGCTTGTGGTACATGTCCCTGTCAGGACGATGCGCAGTCTTCTGTCTCTCAATGGTGCATTCGTTTCTTGCATCCTTCCCGAGAATTTCGATGACCTTCGTCAAGTATGAAATGTCTTTTGACGACGAGTCGCATGCGAAAATATGATGGCCAGCGCGCAGGAGCTCCCACACAAGTCCGACATGCGACTTTCCAATAAGAATCACCCCCTGGTCCTCGTGCAGAAACGAACTGCACAACTTCTGCAACCGTTTAGGAGGTCGTTCCCACCGCCCATACACCTCTCGTTCATTTCCTTCCTCGCCACCGTGCTTTGCTGTGCATCTCTTGAATTGCTCCTCATCAACGTTCAGCTCCACTATCTCTGCCTCCGATTTAGGAGCCCTCGTTACCTTCCTGAGGTCGCCCCCCTCAGCATGGAGGACGACCGCCATCGTGTCCTTATAATCGACTTACCAGTTTCCATACTTGCTGACAGCCGTTCCGAAGGCAAGATAACGCTTCCAAGTCCCGAGTAGCACCTCTGCATCGTCCCAGTTGTAAAGTTGCTTCATGACGGCCTTGTGCTGTTTTTGCGGAGCAAATACAATCAGAATCCAATTATTACCGCACAATTTCGTCATCATTTTGCGCAGAGCATCGAAATCGGTTGGCGTCCATACAAAGCAGTCCTTCGGGTTGGCGAGATCCAGGATGGCCGCCTTGCAATTCAAGTTCGTGGCCGCAGTCACAATTTCGTCGCCTGCAGGCAGCAACTCCTTCGGTTGC